TTATGTTCTTCACCTAATGAAAAGTGCTACTATACAAAATTAAAGTATCAGTATTTTTAATTCTCCAGTCACAGATTTAATTTTATACTGGTCATTACTGGTGTGGTTCACATATTGGATGATATTAAGTGATTTTATGGTTTTTCCCTGTTACAACAATCAGTGTAAATAATTAATCTAAAGCTGAGTTGATTATTAGGTGAAAATTGCAGGAGTAGTGCCGATAAGTGCTGATCCCTCGTGTGAAGATTGGCTGCCCCGCAGATTTTAGTGGTGTACAACCAGGTCTTCTGGTTGTAAAGTTTCCTACTGATTCTCCATCTTTTGCTTTTCCTAGTTACACCATATGGTACTTTGTTTTCCAGCAGGCTTCTTCCTCTGAATATTTATGAAGACCTCCAATGGTTGCCACTTTCATCGTAAGTGCAAAGGAGGTCAATATTATGCCAGTAGTGATGTGCTGGATTTGATATAGGGGATTTTCTTGCAAGATCGTCAGCTTCCTTGTTTAGTTTTATACCTGCATGGCCTGGCATATACATCCAGGTGATGGTCTTACCGCACAGTTGCTTTGCTTTCTACCATTCATCTAAGGCCCAACCACTCTGTGAGTCAGTCACAAATATTATATTGGTGGCACAGTCTTTTTACGGTTCATTGCTTTCAGCAATCCAGATAAGAGCTTTCTCTATGGCATCCAGCTCCATCTTTGTGCTATTTGTAGGAAGTTTGAATGATTCACCAGACTTATGGAGAACGTTGTTGCCCCTTGAGATAATGAACACCCAACCAGCTCTCTTGCTACCTTTGGTGTAAGAATCATATGTGGTTATTATAAGACGTGACTATCCACCATGGTCTTTAAATAGATGTCGACAGGCTTTTTATGCTTCACCTCCTGCCCAATCTCTACATTTCCTGTTTAGGCTGATTTTCACAGATCCTAATGGTGCCAAATTTTTGTTCCACAAGAGGGCATCTGAGATCTTATTATGACGAATATATCAGTACTTGCTGTGTAGCATAGCATCGGTCACCCGTGACTGTTTCATGAGGTGCCTTTTATGCAATCTCCTGCTTGAGTGATGTCTGTGGGTATTGTGAAGCTGAATTGTCCCAACTGAAGAGAAATGGCAGTGGCTTGATGATGGAATCTATGCTGTTTACATGCAACAAGGATCTAGTAAAAAAATTTGCTTGTAAGCGCAATTAATGTTATGCAATGTTGCGGAGGCTTGAAGTGAAATAAGGCTTTGATGGAACTAGTTGAAGTGCATCTTTTGACCAGGCTTAAATGTGTTTTTTTATCTTTTCAATCTTATACTGATCATTGGCAGTTCATAATCCAGAATGAAACAGATGAGATTTTGGCAGAGCATAAGCAGGTGATGTTCCTCAGTTCTATTTCCTGTTGGAAATATTAGTGCATTTATGCTTTTGTAGTTCTGCTTATCATGGTGTTAATATTGTCTGTTAAAGGTTGTTCCAAGGTACTTCAAAGGATGGTGATTGTTTGTCCTCATCAGCATGTCAGTTGTAGTGTGTGCAGAAAGATGTGCCTTTGGCAGGATTAATGATAATTTCTGTGACATTGTACCACTTGATCATTCTTGTAAGGGTTGATTGTATTTACTTTTGATTTCAGTTTTGCTAGAGCCTTTGCTGCACACCAGAATGTCACCAGCAAAGGTTAACACACCAGCATCTGGTTGAACTGTCATTGCAAGCTAGATCCATGTTGTAGATGATGAAAAGAATTGACAAGAGTGATGATTCTTAAGGCAGATCTCTGTTTACAGTGATCCAGTCTGATTGTTAACTTCCATGCTTCGTGATGCATCTTCTTGCAGTTAGTGCAGCCATGACCCATTTTACACCAATGGCTATTCTAAGCATTTTGTCAGCAAAAATCAGTGGCTGGACTTCACTGTAGACATCTTCCACATCTAAAGCTACTTAGAAAAGTATTTTGATCAGCTTCAAAGGTTTTATATGTACCAGCTGCAACTTTAGCAGCAATGAACCAGGTTTCTCTTCCACTACAATAACCACCTAATGACGACAGTAGTGGTAATTCAGTGTACCAGGTAAGCTTCCTCTGGGATATCGCTAATGATGATTCAATGGCTTTTAAAATGAGTGATCCTTCATGGGTTTAGATAAAGATCTGATAAAGGCATCAAACCATATTTTAGAGATGCTATCTGTTGCCCAGCTATATTGATACTCCAACAAATTGGCTTCTGTAAACTTCTTAAATGTGGAGACTCTTACGCCATCCTCACTTGGAGCTCCAATTTTAGATGCATTTGTGGCTCTGTGTATGTTATCCAAGTTAAGGCTGGCTTCTTATTCACATGTTGTTGTAGTATATATAGGGACTGCTGTAGCTTGTACCATTCCTGCATGTTACAATAGTGAATGTATCTGTGCAGGAAGGCCTTGTCTTGGTCTTCATCTGTACAATGCATGGTACTGTTATCATAGCAAATGACCAACACTGTCATGTTTCAAGTTTTTGGTTCCTATGGCAGCCATAAGCTTGTAGAAGAACCATAATGATGTACTTGTGAGATTGGTTTTGCTGCACAGTTCATTACCCTTCATGGTATGTGCTTTGGAAGGTGTTCATCTGTAGAATGCACAGGGTCTATTTCATACAATCCTTGCCTCCTCTACTGAGGCTGTGTCAAGCCTTAACAGCATGAACTTAGTTTGGACTTGACTGTGTGCTTTTCAGGCTTTATCAGTATCACTATTACACCAGTAACAGGATGTTCCTTTTGAAGTTGTTGTTGCTTCAATTTTGCCCAATGGTTGAGAGTTACTTGCGGGTACAAGCCAAGCACCGACAGAAAGCTTGACACCCTCAAAGGTGTTTCTAGATTGTTTTAAACCAATCTTTCTGAAGTGAGTTAAGTTGCCAATTTTCTATGTAAATGGACTCCGTCAGTTATTATTGGGATTAACTGCAATACTATTGGTACTTTTTGTGTAATACGTTATTCAGCTTATATAACCAATTAAATAATGAAACCACAACAAATTTGATACATAAACACTTTAGAAACATAATTTTAAGAATTTAAAAATGTGATGGAACCCTCAATAACTCTATGATTAAAGTCTGGGCTCCTGACTCGTTTGAGTATTCAAAATGTTCGAGTTTGAAGGAAATTGAATCAAAGTTTAAACATTAATATGGTCAGCATAACTTAGCTAGAATTTAGTTTACTAAAGAAATTCACCACAACTTAAACCTAATTTACTAAATTTCCATTAAGACGTATTTGTTTGTTTTTCTTATTAAGGTACTTGTTAAATGACAGTTGTTTCAAATATATTTATTTATTGGTTAGTAAATCAAAGATAATTGAAGGTAATCTCTGCTTAGAGGTGGTTTTTACTAATACAGAGCTTTAAGTCATTAGAATGATATTTTTGTTAATTAATAAACTGAAAGTAATTAGTTCAGATGTTATGCTTAGGTTTGAGCTTTCCTGATATGGATCTTTAAAAATTTAGGATATATTTGGTAGTAAAAAACAAAATAATTTCTGTTTATATGTATGATTAGAAATGGGCTTCTCTAATATGGAGGTTTTAAACCATTAGAAGGACGTTTTTAGTGGTTAATAAACAGAAAATAATATGTTTATATGTATATTTAGAAGCAGGCTTCTCCAATATAGAATTTTAAACCATTAAACGGACATTTTGGGTTGTTAACAAACTGAAAATAATATGCTTGTATGTATATTTAGAAGCAGGCTTCTTCAATATAGAATTTTAAACCATTAAACGGACATTTTGGGTTGTTAACAAACTGAAAATAATATGCTTGTATGTATATTTAGAAGCAGGCTTCTTCAATATAGAATTTTAAACCATTAAACGGACATTTTGGGTTGTTAACAAACTGAAAATAGTACGCTTGTATGTATATTTAGAAGCAGGTTTCTCTCATATAGAACCATTACAAGAATATTCCTGGTTGTTAATAAATTAATAAACTAAAAATAATATGCTTGTATGTATATTTAGAAGTAGGTTTCTCTCATATAGAACCATTACAAGAATATTCCTGGTTGTTAATAAATTAACAAACTGAAAATAATATGCTTGTATGTATATTTAGAAGTAGGTTTCTCTCATATAGAACCATTACAAGAATATTTCTTGTTGTTAATAAATCAATAAACTAAAAGTAATTTATCTAAGCTCTTCACTTCAACGTCACTTCTCACATAGTTCTTCTTTTCCAATTTATCATATAGCATTCAAGCTTTAATCAGCTTTTCTTTCCATCCTTTTAGCCTATCATGTTTCCTTTATTTATTTAGTTAAGCACAAAGCTACACAATGGGTTATCTGTGCTCTGCCCACCATGGGTGTTGAACCCGATTTCTAGCATTGTAAGTCTGCAGACATACTGCTATGCCACGGGGTGATGGTGTTTCCATTCAGTCTTTTCTTTGACTTTTTAAACAGACAAGGTAAGTCAGGCAAAGTGCAAGGAGCCATTATTAAGTCTAGTGAAAATAAATTCTAGTTATTATAATGTGAATAAGTCAACTTCGAAGGTCTGAAATCATCCAGAAAGCCTCAAAACAATGTGCACTTTGAAACTTTTCACCAAAACCTCGGATGAAGCAACAAGATAAAACTGACACAACACTTTTCTCATTTAACAATTAAAAGATCTGAGTACCGCAGCTGAAGTGAAGCACTTTTGTAGACAGTGTGGTACAGGTCATTGTCGATTACAAGAATTTCAGCTTCTTGCTTACTAGACAAATTCTAATTGCTTCTCACATGTGGTTAAGAATATAAAAATAAATCAGCAGATTTCCAAAATCTTAACATTATGAAAATATTTAAAGTTTGGTTGTACACAAATAAAATGTGTGTGAATATTGGATTTCAGTGGATAATTCAAATCGAAAATTGAACATGTGGAAACTCACACGACTCAAAACAGAAAAACCACACAAAACAGGTTGAAAGTTTAGAAATTACTTTTATCAATCTCATGGTACATGACCTTGCTCACAGAAGAACACAGGTATTAGAATGTGACTTTCCATACGTCATGTTTGTTGCTGTTCTACACACTTGTGTATGACAGATGATGAAATGGACATATTAACAAATTACAATTAAAATAAGATGTCATTCTGCCCAGAGTTTTCTTGGAATCAATGTTTTTTGTGCTACAATGACATTCCTTTATTGATGCAGAAATGTACATCTTGACAGAATGTTAAATATTGTCTTGTCTATTTTTAAAAGATATTCCAAGTGGAAGATAGCATAAAATTAAGTTATTCTACACAGAATATCTCCTATTTAAAATAGAAAAAGAAATAACTGTTGGAAACTTGTGTTTGTCATATTTTCAAACCATTAACAAATGCACTGTTTCAGAACATGTGCTACAAATGTTGATTAATAAAGAAACAAGATTTTGGTACAAAACGTTTTTAAATAATAATTTTAATTTTAAATCTAAATTGCTTGGTGAAGCACATGTCCAGCTATATTTCTGATCCACATTTGCCTTTCATGTTAGCCATCTAGAGTGAGACTGGGAGTAGTAATGTTAATAAAGGTAACTTTAAAATTAGGATAGTTTTTTAGCTTTCTGGTATAGAGCATCCACTACCTTGCCCATGCTTTGAAATGTTTCTAGTGCAGCCTCGTAAGTCTTATCCCTGGTCGTGTCTTCAAAAACTATCAGAACACCTTCTCCTTGATCTAATATCCCTGGTAGAAATAAAATACAATTGCATATTTTAAAATGAAGGCTTAACTATTTTTCAATGCTTATGATGAAAGTAATATTTATATATTATATAATATTATAGTTAGCGTCACTCCAAAACTATGACAAAAATTTGATATTGTGTATCTTGCTAATTTTAGAGAGAGAGAGAGAAAAAAAGCAAATAAATCAAAGTGAAAGCCTTTGCCAAATAATATAATTTTTATTAATACACTGATATCATAAAGGTCAAACTCCTGGTGAATTTTTATATGAAGTTCTTGTGGCACATAAACAAAGTTGGAATTCATAGTTATTCAGATTAGTAAACTTGATAATGTTATAAGACATACAGTGCAATCCTAGTAATAATAATGTTGAATCACCAGTTTACCCTAACAAGTGAAAATGTGAATTACCTTAGGAAGTTTATAGAATTTTTTTATGACATTTTATCATCTGCAGAACAACCCCCTGATGAACTACAGTAAAAATGGTTTTATAAAAGCAGGAGTACCAACAATCTATTATTAGAATTTTTAATTATGTCTTATCACCTGTAAGGCAACTCTAGACGAACTTTAGTATGAATTGTCTTCAGAACAATACGCAATTCAACAATTGGAATTTAGGATCTATTAATAATATTTACCATCGGCAAGACAACTTGTGATGAGCTTCAGTGTCAATTATCTTAGAAACAATCCACTAACAACCAACTAAATGACAACTTGATGAATTATATTAATAACAATAGCCAAGATTGGGTCATACAACTAATTTAGGAAATAATCTTTGAAACATCTTCAGTTTGAGGACATGATCAATAAGCTGTAGAATAAATCTGCTAATAATTAATTCTAATTAACATTAGTACGACATATTTTTTTGCATAACATCTAACCTTTTGTAGGGAAAGAAACTAAAGAATTGAAAGAAAAATATACATTTAAAAATCTTGAGCCACCATGTTAAGAGTGAATTTGTTATTCATGTGTGCGACAAATGAGAGGAATGGAAGGGCTCTCCTAAGTCATAAACCTTTAAGACACACAAATATATATATACTAGTAAAATTTATATTTAGATAGCTCAATACTTACCTCTGATCTGATCTACTTTAAAACAATGAGAAATACACTTTTACTTTTTTGTTATTCACTCAGTAACCATTATAATATACACAGAAAACATTTACAGCTTTGTTTTAATCTTTCAACAGATAGTACTCTTTGTATGACTTAAAGATTCAACACAGGCATGTAACGAATAATATTAACGTAAGTAATGATTTCTTTTGCATATTGCTATACCATATTACTCACTCAACTAAATTAATGGTGAGTTAACTCCATAAAGAGCTCAGTTTTTATCAATTTTCATTAAAATATTTTTATGTTTTTCATAATGATTGTTTGTTTTGTTTTGAAGTTAAGCACAAAGCTACACAATGGGCTATCTGTGCTCTGCCCACCACGGGTATCGAAACCCGGATCCTAGCGTTGTAAGTCCGCAGACATACAGATGGGGGGGGGGCTTTTCATAATGATATACAAAATTTATTGTTCTTTTGTCAAAAATACAGGCTCTCTGAGAGTAGTTATTATAAAAAGATTTTTGGTATTTATTTATACCTTAGTATTGGTTTAGGAAGACATAACTCTTATTTAAGAACAACTGTATATTATTATGCTCAACATTATCCATATGATGTATGTCATTACTATATATACTATTTCACATAATAAAATTAATAAACTGAGGTAAATTTATAAAAAAATTTAAAAACAAGGCAAAAATAAAAATTTATCATTGTATCGTCCGATAACTTTTAAAACTATAAACAATTTTAATCTATAATATAAATATTATGACATTTTCTAATCAATTACGTTTATATATTTTGTGGAGGTATTTCGATTGGTGGATTGAAATTGAGCCCCGCCCCCACCTCCTTATACCTCCTGGTTGGATGCATGGTGTTATTGAACACTTGTAAATGCTTATATTTTACAGATATCACATCTTACTGAGCTAAATTATCCATCCTTTTTAGTTCTTATTTTAATGTCTGCATGTTATGTTAAGCATTAGTCTCATCTTACATGTTTTTCTAAGTTAAACCATACGCTCATTACTGATTTAGTCCATGTTCTGTTTAATAATGTGTATCAATTAGCTTATGTGCTATTAAAACTTGGGTTAATGAGTACTGATCTTCTGATGGATTAGTTTGTGTTTTATTGAGCCTCATATTCATCTCTAGAAATCAGAACAATTACCTCAAAATCGTTAGAGTTGGCAGGTCTGTATTATCAATTTATACAAGTTAATGTTTCATAAAGAACTGACCTTCAGTTTTATCAAAGATTAAAGCTACAAACAATATACTTCATGCTTTATTAAGTAAAATAATTGTGTCATTTTCTTATTTGAACTTGTTCTAGTGTACATGTTAGTAATGGATTTTAAACCAGTAACAAATGTACCTAGAATCCACTACTCGGACTTGTACAGTGACCACTGCATGAAATAAGTTGCAAGGTGAAATGTCCAAGTAACTAGCGTTTTTTCATTCAACAGAGCCTGTCCTTTATTACTTTTAACATGTGCAGTAAAATTTTGCCTGAGCAGACAGAATTAATTGAACTATTTCATTCACAAACATGTAATTATAAGAGAGCTTAATTCCATGTTTTTGTATTCTGAATATTTTTATAAAAGATACCAAATCTTTATAATTTTTTGATTTTGTGAAAAGACACCATTCACATTGAAAATGACAACAGTGCCTAAATTATAGCTCACTATAACTTACACATTGATTAACTTTGTTAAAAGTAATAAAGGACAGAATACAAAACATGGCATTAAGCTTTCTTATAATTACATGTTTGTGAATGAAATAGTTTAATTAATCCTGTCTGCTGAGGCAAAATTTACTGCACATGTCACAAGGTTTTAATGGCTTGCATTCAAAATTTTATTACACTACTTTTTGTTTCTGTTATATCAATTATTATAGCATAAAATCATAGCTAATAATCCATATTTTAACAATATATAAATCTTAAGTTCTTAATTTTATAAGGTAATATTTAAAAAAATCCTGAATTTCCCCTAGTGAGAGAAAGGTGACAAATTTTCTGTAGGCATCCAATCTTCTATATTTTATCCACCACCCCTCCATTAACTACTAAATTAAACATAAATTACTCACTATAAAAACGTCAACTCAGACAAATCATAATTTTTATAGTTTCAATTTTGTTTGGTTACAGAGCTATCAAATAGAAAATCAGACCCCTCATGCCACACCCACCTGTCACATCCTATCTTTCAGGATTTATTAATAGTTCTCTCTTACAGTTAATTCTATATTTTCTATAACCAATAGAAAGTCAAGGTTTTCATCTAACAAATGATGTATTATATTACATTGTGTTCAGAACAGAGAATTGTAAATTTCTTTTTTAGTACAAGCTTTGTTCCCATGGGAAAGATAACTACTAGCTTGGATGAATTTGAAAGCCAGAAAAACTGTGATAGTTAGAGGAACTTGTCTGCTTTTTGAATGTTGTTATTCTATGTTCTTTGGTGCATTATTTAATAAATAAAAATTATTTTATGCATTACTACCATTAGTGAAAAAAAAGTAGGGTTAAGTGTCATTGACAGTCGACAGCAAAAAAAAAGATGTGGGTAAGTACTTTATTTCTTATTTTTCATGTTTATTCTTTATTTATTTATTATTATAAAAATTAAATAAAAGGTAAAAATATGGATCTCTTCAGGTTAGATTAGGTAAAATAAATAATAATAATAATAATATAATAAAAATATTTCATGAGGAACACACGGGAGCAGCTTGTGGAAAATACAATTTGATAGCGTAACAGAAACTGCACGTTTCCCAAGTGATTTACAAATTATAATGGTTTTTATGAGTTTAAAGCTACTTAGTATAAAGGAACGTAGTTTTATGTTACAATTTGAAGTCATTCTAGAAAGAAAAAAAGAGGGTAATTTAGATTTATTTCGTGTTTTTTTTTTGGTGGTTACGAGGTTGGTTAGATTGACCAACCTTATATAGTTAGGGTAGAGAAAATAACATATAAAATATAAAGTTTTACTGAAAACAAACATTTGAAATGAACTTAGGAAGTTTTAGAGATTACACAAATGAAATTTGAGAATTTTGAGATGAAGAAAAGTATTTTTAATCTTAACATGAAAAAATCACTTTGCACACGGACTATTTAAAACAAATACTCGACATACTCATGGACAATTTTTTTTTTAGTTTATTAAAAATACTTCACTAAAAAATATGACTTTTTGTATGCGAAAGACTTATAATGTTTACTGAAAAACTTCCAAATTTCATGAAGATATACACACTATATTATAAGTTAGTAGTATTAAGTCTATAAAGACATTGAACAAGTACAAAGAGGCCACGTGATCGGTCAAATTGACAGAGCATGTATTGAGAGAGTTAAAGCATTTGATATTTGTTTCATGTCAATGTCTCACAACCTAACAAAAATAAACCAACACTTAAAATAGACACCTTACCATTAAATTTCTTATCAAGGATCATTTGAGAAAGCTTCTTTTCAACAGTGTCCTGAAATATTAGGAGGAACAAAATGCTGTTAGTTATTGATTTAGTATTATACAACAATACACAAGTTATGGAAACAGCTTTTCAACAGTGAATATTATTAAACTTTTCAGCAAGCCACACACATTTGTAACTTAGACACAATTACATGAACTTAATGTAAGCTTTTATTTAGAGTAGCTATGAAGTTGGTGTTTAAGAGAAAAGTATTATAATTTTTCTAACTTTGTTGGTCATAACATTGTTGTTTCAGAAAAAAAAGATTAAACTTCTATAATTCATAAGTTATGTGGCAAGATATTGTGAAACATATGATGCATATTTTCTATTTCCTGACCCCCAAGCATTCAGCATCCTCATTATTTGAAAAAAGTGTAACTAATACTTACCAATGGAAGCTTTATGTTCTTTGCTATCTGTTCAACCTGCAAGAAAAAATAAGTTTAAAATCAGACTAATAGATTGATTCAAATCCATGTTTAAAATTTCACTGACAGTTTGATTAAACCTTGTTTAAAACTTTTTTAATAGTTTGATTAAACCAAATGTTTAAAATCTCACTGACAGTTTGATTAAACCCTATGTCTAAAATCTCACCGACAGTTTGATTTAACCCTATGTTTAAAATCTCACCAACAGTTTGATTAAATCCTATGTTTAAAATCTCACCAACAGTTTGATTAAACCCTATGTTTAAAATCTCACCAACAGTTTGATTAAACCCTATGTTTAAAATCTCACCAACAGTTCGGTTAAAATCTACATGATGTACAATGAGAATAGGTGACCTAAACTAATCCAAAAGACCACAAACTTAACAAAAATGATGATATGGAGGAAAAATGCATGAAGAAATTTCTTTGCAAGATTAATGATAAAAAAAGAGAAAAATCTAACTCAAACTTGAGCATAAACCTAAGTTATGCATGATATGACTAAGTCTCACTAAATCATGAACCAAAAAGTCATAAGCACATGGCTGAATAAAACACTGTCTAACCTGGACATTAAAACATGAATGCAACTAGAAATGAACACAAAAACCAGTGAAACATGAACTATCCTGGACATAAGCAAAAGTTCGGTAAAATAAACTCACCGGGAAGAAGGTGAGACTCAATAAAATAAGAATTAACCAAAATGTTAGTGTAAAACATTAGCTAACCAGAGCATGAGTACAAAATTAAACAAAACATGAACTTGACAGTATATAACCCTAAAGCAGATTAAAACATGAACTAAACAGAAATAAACATATGAAGATACTAATGATGAAGAATAAGGATCAATGAAATATAGTAAAACACACACACACATAAAAAAAAAACTATTTCATTCCTGATAGGTAGTTACAGGTAGTAATAGTAAACAACACAGATGGCTAATAAAATATAAGGTAGTAGTCTAAACGTGAAGTTATGGCCTATTCTGTACTATGAATAAATTTTGTGTTCAACATCTAAGTTCAAGGAGACAAAAGCCAATAAAATATGAACAATAAAGCAGAATAATACAACTTTAAAAGGAATGGAGTAACTTTCATAAAAGATTAAGACTCTTGTATTACTAGCTCTGATATGAAGCTACAGTGGTGAAATATTGGACGAAATAAAATTTGCTTGTACGCAGGAGCAAGACCCAATGTGACATGAGCATGTAAGTAAATAAATGAAATAAATAAAAACCTAGCCTTACATAAACATACTTATACATAAAATTAATAACATATCAAGATACTTATACACAACATTAACGTTCAACAAAATATAAGCTAAATCTGCAGAGTATATTAATAGCATATGGATTAACATGCACATCACACTAACAATAAAAGAATATAGATCTTAGGAACCAAATAAGCAACTTTGTGAAGTCCAAAAGGACTTTATAAAAAATCTTTGAAATAACTCTTTTATTACTAAAAGCAAAATTCATACCAAGAATAAAAGAAGAGTATTATATCTCAGAACAATGAGTGATTTTCTGTAATCGTTCTTCAGCTTTCACTACAGATGAGGTATGGTTGACAGAAAAATTTGCTATATACACTAATATTTAAAACAGTTAAATCTTTAAAAAACAGAAGGAAATTGAGAAACATTTTTATTTAAAATAAGGAACTATTTTCTTAAAAAAAGGGGAGTTTCAGAAAACGTTTTTTTTTATTAGTAAGTTTAGAATCCAACTATGAGCTCTGCACTAATTTTTGAACTAAGTACTAATGTGTAAGTGATATTATTATATAGTAAGACACGAACTGACCTGAACACGGGAGTAAGGCTCAATGAGACAACAGAGGTTCTGTTCTAACATCGTATCATACAAAGTGTCCAAGTGAGCTCTTATAATAGGATCCTCTACCAACTGTTTCCTGTAGTCTTTAACAGCCTAAAAAAAGATTCAATCAAAAAATTAAAACAATAGACAGGAAGTAGGAAACATAAGCCTCTCATGTCTGACGTTGATCTTTTAGAATAGTTCCATACCCCAAGGACTTGTAAACTTATCTGCAAGTCAAAGGCATTTTCAAACCCTGAGAAAACCCACAATATTTGTCTATTAGTACACAAAGTTTTTATATCCTAAAAAGGCCCCTGGATGTTTATCTGTATGTTACCAGAGGAGCTTCTATGTTCCAAGAAGGCCCCAAGGTGTTCATCTGAAAGTCTCCAGAGTTTTTATACTGTAAGATGACCCCAGATGTTTATCTATAAGTCATCAGAAGAGTTTTCATATCCATAAAAAAACAGGGTAAATTATTTGTGAATATTTCTTCACACTAAAATGTGTAATTTCAGTGAAGAAAATAAAGACCTTATATTTTAGCGTGAAAAAGAAAATTCCACAATTAATTACCCGCTAGTCCATTGAATAATCTAACCTATATATAAAACCAGCGTGTGTCACGTCACGCTTGATTTCTAGAAATAAGAGGAGTCATAAAATCTAAATTGCAAATAGTTCGATTACTGTCTGCCCATTACGATTTTGTTGATGGAGGTGCGGGGGGGGGGGGGTCTCCGAGGGGAGTATGAAACCTTATAAGTGTAGTGAGTGTTGGTGTAATAAGCCTAAAGTAAAGACATTGTGTGGGATCACCTAGCCTTGAGCCAAGTGCATAAAATTTATCACAGTAAAAATATCAATTCAATTTTAAATTTACATTGTTTTTGAATTAAGTTATTTTTTCTGTTATATCATCGACATTTTAAATAAAAACAAACCTCTTTAATAAATGGAGACTCTAAATTAAGAAATCAACAAATATTTTTTTTTCCAGTTTTGTTGTCTATGCATTTCATTTTATACTTTCAGTACATAGATTAACAATAATAGTAGCTTATACTTTTGTTGCTAAGCAACATGACACAAAAGCCATTGTTGGAACATAATGACTTTTCTATATATTAGAAGTTCTTAATCTAACTGATTTTTATCAATAATTATTCTATGAATACTCCACAAATGTATTTCATGAATGACCTTAATTTTGATTGGCCCACAAAGGAATTTACTGACGTTTCATTGCTTCGACTGTACTTTTCTGCTTCTTTGTTGATCATGCTTGATTTCACAAAATCCATTTATTTCAGTTAGCTATGAAATGTGAGGTTAGGGTATACTATGGGGGTGGGGGTGGGAGTGGTAGTATTTGCCCCATCATTTTTGACGACCTATACGCTAGTTACAAATAATTTATTGTGGCAGTATAGCCATACATTATTTAAAAACCTAAAGTATTTTAGGTTATTAGTGGCGAGTAAATGACTTTACAAGAAACCCTATAAAGTTACCAGGGTATTCATCTCTTAGTCGCCAGAGAAGTTTCCATGCTCCAAGAATACTATAGGGTGTTTAGCTGAATGTCTCCAGAGGAATTTCAATACAGTCAGAAGACCCCAATATGTTTAACTCACCAAAGGAGTTTCATACTCCAAGAAGATCCCAAGGTATATGTCTGTAACTCACCACAGAAGTTTCAAGATATTTACCTGAAAGTCATCAGGCACAAAATATTTATCTGTAGGTCAGAAAATCTTTTATATTCTAGAAGAGTTTGCTAAGAAGACTCCAGATATAAAAGTAGTTTATATAGGCTTATCTAAACTTTACAGAATGTGGCCTATATTCTTCTCATTCCAGTCAGAACCACAGACATATGTAAACTTTACAGAATGTGACCTGTATTCTTCTCATTCCAGTCAGAACCACAGACTTATCTAAACTTTACAGAATGTGACCTGTATTCTTCTCATTCCAGTCAGAACCACAGACTTATCTAAACTTTACAGAATGTGGCCTGTATTCTTTTCATTCCAGTCAGAACCACAGACTTATCTAAACTTTACAGAATGTGACCTGTATTCTTTTCATTCCAGTCAGAACCATTAGATTCCTGCTGAGAATCATTTTCATAGGCTTATCTAAACTTTACAGAATGTGACCTGTATTCTTCTCAT